AAAAAAAATCAAACACTTAGAAGCTGAATAGCATGCTATGAAATAATGATTGGGTTACCAAATAGATCAAAGAAGAAAAAGCATCCTGGTAACAAACAGCGATGAAAACACACAACAATCCAAAATCTATGGGACACAGTGAAAGCAGTCCTGAGAGGGAAGTTAATAGCTCTACAGGCCTACCTCAAAAAAAAAAGAGAAAAAATGGTAATTATCTAACCCTACAACTTAAAGAATTAGAGAACAACAAGAAAAGCCCAGAGTAAGCATAAGGAAGAAAATAAATGACATAGATATAAAAAAACAAACAAACAAACAAAAAACAAATATAACAAAAAAAACAAAAACAAATAAAAAAGATCAATAAAACCAAGAGCTGGTTTTTTGAAAGTTTAAAATAAGATTGATGAACCTCTTGCCAGGCTCACCAAGAAACAAACAGATAGGACCCAAATAAACAAAATCAGAAATGAAAGAGGTAAAGTAACAACTGACCCCACAGAAATTCAAAGGATTGTAAAAAAATACTATGAACAAGTCTAGTCCAACAAACTACACAACCTAGACAAAATGGACATATTCTTAGAAAAAAATACAAGCTTCCAAAACTCAATCAGGAAGAATAAAAAAACCTGAATAGGCCGATAAGTAGTGATGAAATTGAAGCAGTAATCAAAAATCTTCCAATAAACAAAAGCCCTGGACTGCAGAGCTGTACAGGGGAGTCTACCAAACATTCAAAGAAGAACTAAAATCTATCCTCCTCAGACTATCCCAAAAATTTTAAGAGGAAGGCACACTTCCAAGCTCTTTTGATGAAGCCAGCACTATCCCAATCCCAAAACCCGATAAAGACACTAGAAAGTAAGAAAGAGAACTACAGGCAATATCCCTGGTGAACATAGATGCTAAAATCCTCAACAAAATTCTAGCAAATTGGATCCAGCATTACATTAGAAAGATCAAACACCATGACCGAGTGGGATTTATTCCGGGGATGCAAGGATGGTACAATATCCACAAATCAACAGAAGTGATGTAGCACATAAACCAACTGAGAGACAAAAATCACATAAGCATATCAACGGATGCAGAAAAAGCATTTGACAAAATCCAATACCCTTTCTTGATAAAAACTCTCAACGAAGTGGGAATAGAGGGATCATACCTCAACGTAATGAAAGCCTTGTATGACAAACCTACGGCCAACATCATACTCAATGGGCAAAAACTAAAACAATTTCCCCTAAGAACAGGAACAAGACAGGGATGCCCACTCTCACCACTCCTGATCAATACTTTGAATTTCTGTGGGGTCAGTTGATCAACATAGTACTGGAAGTGCTAGCCATAGCAATCAGACAAGAAGAAATATAAGGCATCCAAATGGGAATAGAAGAAGTAAAACTATCATTATTAGAAGAATTCCAGGTGTTTTCTTTCAGAGTTTGAAGTGAGTAGGTGATACTCCAGATAAATGAGAAATGTGGATGTGCAAAAAGAAAACTGAGGCATGACTTATATAATTCCGTCATTAGGAAACCCCTGAATTAAAGCCTCATATTACCTACTACCAAATACTTCATCTCTAATCCATCCTCACATGGCAGCCTGCAGAATAGATATTCTAAAATACACATCTAGGCACTTCCAGTCAAAGTAGCAGACTAAGGAAATGCTGTACTCATTCCTCCCATGACCACATCAATATTACAACGTAATATTTGTTTAGCTCCTCTTCATTCCACCTGAAGAGGAGCTAAACAGAACTCCTATGACTAAAGATATATAGAAGAAACCTCAGCAAGACTGGTAGGAGGGGTAGCACTGCAAAACAGGTTGATCCCACACCTATTTGCAGTGGTGAAAAATTGGAAGGGATAGCTTGCCTGGTGGTTCCAGCCCCATACCAGATTCCCCAGCCTGGAGCACCAGTGCCAGGAACAAGTGTCCCCAAAACATCTGGCTATAAAAATCAGCAGAGACTGTGACCAGATGAGAAGGGGGGTTGCTATAGACCAGGGGTGGGCAAACTTTTTGACTCGAGGAACACAATGGGTTCTTAAACTGGACCGGAGGGCCGGAACAAAAGCATGGATGGAGTGTTTGTGTGAATTAATATAAATTCAAAGTAAACATCATTACTTTTATTTTTAGTTTTATTCATTTCAAATGGGCCGGATGCGGCCCGCAGGCCATAGTTTGTCCACGGCTCCTATAGACCCAGGCATCCTCTTAGAGGGCCTGAGCACAGACTCACTCATGAACACTCGCCCTCAGCTTCAGTAAAGGGACAGCAGTCCAAAAGTACCAAGGGAGGAACTGAATTATCTGGCTTCAGGGTGAGGGTTGAACAGGCACCTCTCTACAGGACTGAAGGGCTGGCAGGCACCATTATTCCTTTGTTAAGCCCACACCGTCCCAGCCTGAATATGCAGGTGGGTGCCAAATCTAAGATCTCCATTAAATGGCTAACCTCAGGTATCCCACTCTGATGACTCCCTTAGGCTTTGCCCTACCTAACACAGGCAAAGGCCCAAAACTCTTTCAGAGGCTGTTCCTCCTAAGTGGCTGGGCTTGGCCCATGCTGCAGACTTTTCTAAAATCTCTCAAAGGTCCACAAACCCCAAATGAGCAGTGCATGGCCTTGATGTGCCCTGTATCTCATGCTAAGTAACCCCACAGCATAGCTTCTCCCAGATGTTTCCAAGCCCATCACTGGTGACTACCAACCACAGGATTACTTGTAGCTCCCATTAGGTGGTTCCAGGCCAGGCACTGGTAGCAATTGACCTGGGGCTGTACCTGAGCCCTACCTAAAAGGCCCCAGAACCAACACACCTGTTGGCTCACTTTATATCACACCAGAACACTACCCAATGAGCTCCATAAATGCCATACCCAAAGGGTGGAATAAAAAGGCATTGGACCTCACTAAAATAAACCCTGCTCTGTGGGGTTAGCACTTGCACAACAGCTTATCTGCTGCAGTTGCAACCAGTTCTCATAGCCATTGAGCCTGAGTGGCAATCCTACCTACTTACATGCTAAGAGCAATCAAAGCTCAACTAAAACAGAAGGGCACACACAATGACACAAGGAACACAAGCTACTGGACTGGGAAGACTATGCCACTGGTCCCCATTGGACACCTACTAACTATATAAGGCCACCATGCCAAAATTAAGAGACATAGCAGATCTACTTAATACATAGAAACAAACACAGGAGGCAGCCAAAATAAGACAAAGAAATGTCCCAAATGAAAGAAGAGGACAAAACTCCAGAAAAAGAACTAAATGAAATAGTACCAAGCAATCTATTAGATACAGAGATAAAAAAAAAAAGTGGGAGTAAAGATGCCCAGGGGCCTGGCCGGCATGGCTCAGTGGTTGAGTGTCAACCTATGAACCAGGAGGTCATGGTTCAATTCCCAGTCAGGGCACATGCCCAGGTTGGGAGCTCGATCCTCAGTGTGGGGTGTTCAGGAAGCAGCCGATCAATAATTCTCTCTCATCATTGATTTCTCTCTTGTTCTCTCAATTCTCTGAAATCAATAAAAATATATATATTTTAAAAGATGCTCAAGGAACACAGGGGAAATATGGATGAACTTCAGTGAGAATTTACACAAAGAGACAGAAATCATAAAAAAGAACCAGTTAGAAATCTAATCTAATAAAAGAGAAACATGCAAATTGACTGCACCTCTGCTACATCCCAAGCCATGCCCACCAGCCAATCAGAGCAACTATATGCAAATTAACCCAACCAAGATAGGGGCCGGCAGCCTTTGAGCTGGAGCAAGCAGGAGGTTTGGTTGCTCCAGCAATGGAGGAAGCCAAGCTTCCCCTCTGCCCTGGCTGGCTGTGGCCTCCGCTCAAGGCAACAAAGTTTCAC